TTTCAATGTAGGAAAATAATAAAATAATCTAAATAAAAGCTAGTTAAAATAAAAGATAAACAAAAATAAAAAATATTTTTTGGGAGTAGTAAAATTATGTGTTAAATATAAAGAGTTTGTTGAACTCTCTAAATTTATAAATACTCTTCAAATGATAAAATATGCTCTTTAAAAATAGACAAACTATTGGAGATACTCTTAGAGAGTCAAACCCACTTTCTAAATGAAAATATTAAGTTAGAGAGTCTATTAGAGTATAATTTTAAAATCTAATTCTTTAAAATAGATAGTAAATCATATTTAAAGAATCTCTTGGAGATGCTCTTAGTTGATTGACACAAACGTTGACGTGCGAAAAGAACTAAAGGGCCATGACACATTTAATTTTTAACATATATGATAAAGTGATCAACTTGAAGCTAAATAAAATAAAAATCGAGATAAAATGTCTCTAAAAGTTTGGTGACCACGAATAGGTCAAATGCACTAATAACCACTACACTTTTCACAATCTTTATCATTAGCCATTGAACTATAAAGCATCTCTGACTAACCACCAAACTTACCAAATAATTGCACCATCTGTCACTCCGTCATCAAGCGTTAAAAAATAGATGAACTAGATGACATGGATAACCGATATTTATATGTGGCATCTTTGACATCTAGATTTTGCCATATTACAAAAGTTCAATGACCACTCATAAACATTGTAGAAAGTACATTGGTAAATTTATCACATTGTTGAAAGTATTACAAAAGTTCAACGGCTACTCATAAATATTGTAGAAAATACATTGGTCAATTGATAACACACTACAACAAAATTATGATTTCGCGACAAAAAAATGTTGTTGCAAAAATTGAGATTTTGTTGCAAAAGTAATTTAATGACGACAATACGTTTGTTAGGGGCATTGTCACACTATATGAGTCACGGAATATGTTCTGTGACAACTTTCGATCATTCATCGTAGTAACAAAATCTCGACACTATTTGTTTGATGCAGAAAATATGAAATGGCGACAAAATATCCGTAGCCATAATGTCGTCGCAATGAATGTGTCGCGAAAAATTTAAAGGACGACAAGTCAGTTTGTCGCAACGAATATTCAAATAAAGTTTTTGCAAGAAATATGTTTGTTGTGAATGTTAAGTCACTGAATGTATTTTATGACAACTTTCGACCATTCATCGTGTTAAAAAAATTGCAACACTATTTATTTGCCGTAGAAAATATGAAATAACAACCCTATTTGTTTGATGCAAATTATGTCCGTTGATGATTACCAACGAATTTCTGTCGCTATTATGAATTAAAATCTTTAAAAATGATTTTAATTTTAATAATTATTTTCTTGAGATCTTAATTTATTACAGTTTAAACCCA